ATTTGGGATGCCCTTGACGGTGAATAATCGTGTTCCGCGTACGGTGGTAACTCCAAGTTCAACGTCGGTAACCGATAACCCTTCTACTACGCAGTACACGCAGGCACAAGCTTCTTGACGAGTGAGAGCTGTGATTAGCAAAGGAGACGACTGGGCACCTGGAATTTCGGAATATTTGGCATCTGGGGCAATTAAGGATTGGAGAACGACTTGGGGCCTGAGGCAATTTAAACTTGAGATAAACTAAGAATATCAGAACATGAAATTTGAGAACTCTGGAGATGAGCGGGCTGCGTGATGAATTCTTTGCCTTCAGCTTTGTCTTTAATTAAAATTAGTTTGTTAGTTACAATAGTAATAAAATAATAATACAATATTTTCTGTATTTTATGTATAATTTATTCAACTAATAATAATTTTGTATTTAATATATATTCCTATGTAAAAATATAATAATATTTTAATGTTAATAAATAACTTAAAAAGTGAATTTCAAGTCGAATCGTTTATATACGCTTGCCTTAAGCGAATTAGATATGAATCAATAATTAAATTTACTGTAATTCTAATACAAATAAGAATAATATAATTTCTTTTAATATATATATATATATATATATATAATTAGGTGCAATCACATTAATGTAATTTTTTTCATTTTGATTGAAGAACTACACTATGATGAACAAGCTATAAGTCATTATAAATTAATATTGTATATATATATATATTGTATCAGCTCGGTTCAGTTTAAATGAAACCCTCATTCTGCGGTATCGAAACCGAATCGATGATCATTCGGTTATCGTTACAAAGTAGTCGTACGTCTCTATTTATTTTGTCGCCGACCAGTTCAGTTTGATTTTTGACTTTTGGTAGAAAAGAAAACAAATGTCAACTACTACTGGTTTGAAAACTCGGCCAAACTTATTGTTGAATCGAAATCGATTAACTAAAAGGTTTGATTCCTTTGAACAAATTAGTTTCCAATGAACCGATCAGAATTAGTTGAATGGATTGGTCAATTATATATATATATATATATATATAATAAGTTAATAAATATTTATATTCTTTGATTTAAAATAAATATAAATTTAAATATATTTGATACATGTAAATTCAAATATATTTGAATTCATATTATTATGTTTTCTTAAAATATTTTTAATTAAATAATAAATATATTTACAATAAAATTAAAAAATTTATTACACTTATATTCGGTTCATCATTTTTGCATTTCGGTTCTTGGTTTGTCATAATAGTTTAAGCATGTGAGTTGTAAATTATTTTATCGGTTCTTAGCTCAAAAGTTCACAACCGGTTATTGTCGGTTATTTTTCATTAATCGGGTATTTATAAAATAACTATTAATTTTATTACACTTATAGTGGTTGATAAAAAATAAAAATATAACTGTAGAAGTTAATAAAATTTTATAAAATTACATAAAAATAAAAATAATATCTACTAATATTGTTTTGAAAACTGGGCTAAACTAGTTGTCAAGAACCGGAAAACTAAACGGTTGAATTCATTTGAACGAATTGGTTTTTAATACTAGTCAGAATTGGTTGATCGGCTTGGTCAAATATTTTCAGGGTTAACTACTATTTTATCAAATATTCGTTTGTTAGCCTAGACAAGATATGACAATATTTATTCTGAGCTTTAAGATTAAATTGTACAGATCGAATAAGTTGAACCAATCAAATTCAGTCAAAATCAACTGATTGAACCCGTACAAACCGGTCCAATGTTTTTAGAAATAAATTCTAATATATTTAATAATACTATTTATATATGTGAAAAAAAAAACATTTCTAACTATAATAAATATGTATAAGTTATTGTTATTTAGCTTAAGTAATTGAAATATTAAGTTAACATAATATTAACAAATTTTTGTATACATTTATTATATAAAATAATATGTAATATGCCTTATTAACCTTATGAATAACATAAAATGAAATTGCTAAAGTGCCATTAGAACCCAAAATATAACAATCATTAAGTCTATGAAAATTCATCTCATCAGCAAATAAAATGTGATGAAAATTTAAATACAATCTCTTTTCCTTCTTCCCAATTATTAAGTCTCCTTTTCCCCCAAAAATCGTTTCTCTCTTACAGACCCAAAAACACATCTCTCAAATTCATCTCTCAATCTCAACCTAAAAACTGAACAGCCCCTGTAAAAGATACTGAGGTTCGATGCAATTGAGTTCTACGATTCGACTTTTGGCAGGATTTGATTCGAGCTTTTGAGATACCCCAGTCTATTGGGGCTTCGGCTTCTTAGTTCCAAAGACAGATGCCGACAGGGGCTTCCTCGATCCAACTTTGCCTAAACCCGACCTTACAACAAGGAACCTAGACTGAAGAACGAAATCATAGCCTTCATGACGTCTTAATATATCATTCAGATTCAGACGAGTTAAATGAGGAAGGGGCGGTTTCATAGCTCGCGTCAACTGGCCCTTCGTCATCCTTTATGTTAGGGAGCTTGTCTCCTCCAGCTTGTCTGGTTGATGGGGTTCTCTATTTAAAGATGAAAGAACAACGGAAGGTGGTGCAGAGGCTCGCCAGACACCTCATCACGTCCATGGTGATCGGGCACCACAGGTAACGATTGTATACAATAGAAATTGAAAAATTAAAAAGAAATTATAATTTTTTATCTAGCAAAACAATTAGCGTGATTAATTTTTTTTGGCACTCAAAACTCGAGCTTAATTAGGAAATGTTTTATCTAATTAAGGTAGATAAACAATGAGTTTAATGATTTCGTACCTCCGTCAATCTCTCCCTTTTTTATCTCAGCAAATATATATATATATATATATATATATATATATATATGCACAATTAGGCTTTACTTATGACTACATCAAAAATAGTTGCTGCAGAACACACGCATCCCTACAATATTTTCCTGGTGAAGTTTCTTAATCGTTCATGTATAAAGTTTGTGTTTTTACAGATTTTATATTGGCTCACCTTTGTTCAGATTTTGTCTTTGCATAAGCATAATAGTTGTGATAAAATTTTTGTTGCAGTGATAATAACTGTGATAATAACTTTGATGTTGCAGTGATAAAATTTTTGTTGTCTTTGTATAAGCATAATAGTTGTGATAATATGTAACACCCCTCCTTATCGTAAAATCAGAGTGCGCTAAAATTCGCAAAGTTTATTTAAAAATGAAACCTTTTTACTTTGCGAAAACTGATTCGGGGTGCTACCTTTAAAAATCGTGA